TGAGCAATATTCCATTGTGTATATATACTATGTTTTCTTTATTCATCTGTTGAAGGGCACCTAAGCTATTGTGAATTCAGCTGCTATAAACATTGATGTGACCACATCACTGTAGTATGCTGATTTTTAAGTCCTTTGTGTATATACTGAGGAGTGCAATAATAGGGTCAAATTGTGGCTCTGTTCCAAGTTTTCTGAGGAATATCCATACTGCTTTCCAGAGTGGTACACCAGGTTTTCAGTCCTACCAGCAATATACGAGTGAACTTTTTCCCCCACATGCTCTTCAACATTTATTGTTACGTGCATTCTTGATAATTGCCATTCTGACTGGAGTGAGATGGAATCTTAGTGTAATTTTAATTTACATTTCTCTAATTGCTAGAGATGTTGAACATTTTTTCATATATATGTTGATCAGTTGTATTTCTTCTTCTGTGAAGTGTCTGTTCGGTTCCTTTGCCCATTTATTGACTGGGTTATTTGTTTTTCTAGTATTAAGTTTTTTGAGTTCTTTATACATCCAGGAGATTAATGCTCTATCTGAGGTGCAGGTGGCAAAGATTTTCTCCTGTTCTGCAGGCTTTCTCTTTGTGTTCTTGCTTGTTTCCTTTGCTGTGAAAAAGCTTTTTAGTTTGATACAATACCATTTATTGATTCTTGATTTCTTGTACTTTAGGAGTCTTATTGAGGAATTTGGTTCCTAAGCTAACATGATAGAGATTTGGGCCTACATTTTCTTCTAGTAGGCACAAGGTCTCTGGTCTAGTGCCTAGATCTTTGATTCACTTTGAGTTGATTTTTGGGCAGGGTGAGAGATAGGGGTCTAATTTCATTTTATTACATATGGATTTCCAGTTTCCCCAGCACCATTTGTTGAAGAGGCTATCTTTTCTCCAGTGTATGTTAATGGTGCCTTTGTCTAGTATGAGATAACTGTATTTATGTGGGTGTGTCTCTGTGTCTTCTATTCTGTTCCATTGGTCTACCAGTATGTTTTTGTGTCAATGCTATGCCTTTTTTGTTACTATAGCTCTGTAGTATATATTCTTTTAATTTATTCTTGAGGTATGAACTAAGCATGGAAGGGTGGGCCTTGGGAAGAGTCCTACCTTTTTATTTTGTTGCTTACTGAGTTGAAGTTTGGGGTTTAAGACTTCCCAACTTCCCTTCTTGGGAGATTGGTGTGGGCTGGTTGTGTTGTAGGCAGGGTGGTAAAGTGGCTGGCTGGGCCAGGTGGTATAGTGGCTTGTTGGGCAGGCCTAGCCAGTATACACTGGGAAGGCTAGGCAGCAAAGCTTCAAGCTGGGTGGGCCTAGGGGAGAAGTGGCTTGCTGGGTCAGGTGCGCCTGGCTGCAAAGTTGTGGGCCAGGCAGGCTGGGCTATTATTGGGTGGTTATGTCTGGTGGCCTACATGGCCTGGGCCTGGTGGATCAGGGCCAGGAGATGGGCCTTGTTTGCCGCAAAAAGCTGTGGGCTGAGCTGGGCAGGACTGGCAGTGAAGTGGTGGCCTGGCAGGTTGGGTTATGGGCCTGTGGCAAAGCTGTGGGCCTAGTAGGCAGAGTGGTGAGCTAGGTGGGAGGCCAGGGCACTGGGGGATGGAAGGTGGGGGCCTTGGGCAGATGCTGGACTGGTAACTGGACCTGGTGGGCACTGGGGACCCAGGGACCCAGTGGGGTGCTAGTCCAAGGAGGGCTCCAGGGACTGGGATGGTCCTGGGACCTAGCAGGTGCCAGTCTGGATGGATCCTGGGAACTCAGTGGGTGCCAGACTGGGTAGTTGCTGGGACTGCTTAGCTGGGCAAATTGGGAGCCGTGTGCCCCCATACCCACTCTTCCAACTTCCTAACCCACTGTAGCTAGCCTTGTTAGCTCTTGAGAGCCTCAGGACTCACAGGGTTGGGGAGAGACGAGTTCTCTCTGGCATATCCAATTTGTGTTTCCACTGGGAAAATGCTTTTAGTTTCTGATTTCCCATGGGCTTATTAGGCGCAGTTAAGTCTTCATGCGACATAGTTGTGAACTCAGATCTGGGTTTCCAGTTCCTGTTTGTGCTGCTAAACTGTAGTTCCAAGGTGGCTCCTGGATCGGCTCTCTGCTGACAGAGATAAACTCAGGGCAACCTTCTTTTAGATCTGTTTAATGAATTGAACAGTCTGTGGTTCAGCTAGGGCAGACTTCCCCTCCAGTCTCAGGATTTTTCGCTCTAAGCTTCAGGGAGAAGCAGTATTCCCATTGCTTGATTTCTGGTTAGCCAAACTCGGAGAAATGCTGCCTCACTCTTATCTGCCATCTTGTCCCTCCTCTTCACAGTCTTGATTGTTTACTTTGCTGTGCAGAAACTTTTTATTTGATTCCATTCAATTTATTAACTCTTGGCATTATTTACTGAGCTTTAGGGGTCCTTTTGAGAGTTGTTGCCTCTGCCTATATGCTGGAGTATTGACCCTACATTTTCTTTTAGGAGTTGTATATTTCAACCAATCTTCATTTTACTATCTGTACTTCAGCTTCATCTGCAAAGGAAAACTATTGCTTTTATCTTTAGTACTTCAAATGTGTATGTGGGTAGTTTTGGGTGGGGTGTGTTTAATAGGAATCTCACTCAAAGTTATAGTGCAGATTTTGTATGACATCTCCTTGTCAATTATTTGTTATTTTACGTTAAAGCAATATACTTAAATGAATGAATTATTGTAGTTTATGAGCTCTTTAGTATCAATAAATGAAAGCTATAAGTCCTGATAAACAGTTCAAGCTAAAATCTCCCCATTATGCAAACTCCAACCTTTAGTTAAAATACTCTCAATGATGATGTATTATTGGATTTTCTTCCTTTTTTTCTTTGACCATGGTAAATTATCTGAAAGTATTTTTTTTTGTGTGTGTGTTTGTGTATGTTTCTTATTTTGAACTCTTACAAGTATATTTCCTCTAACGTTCCCATTTGGAGTTATGTAAAGCTCAAAGAGAAATGTGAAGAAGAAATATTTAAGAAGTAGAGATAATATTTCTTAGTCTCTAAGAAATAAGTACAAGGGATAAAAAATGCTTTAGAATTAAATGGATTAGTTGGTAAAATATCTTGTATTAATTAAAAGATAAAATTACTTAAATTCTTTAAAATCTTAGATCTGGAATTATTTTTATTTAAACATAGAAGAGAACAAGAAATGGGCAAGGCACAGAAATGATTATATGACATGATAAATATTTAATATAAAGGTTAATAAATTATTTTGAAAAGAATTTGTTTGTTATGTTACAAGAGAGGGAAAACGATCAGGTTTTCCCTATGTTGAAACTGACAGGTAGACTCTAGATAGACTTTTTCAGACTGTGAAAAGTCTGCCTATTCTTTGTTGTCCAATTCAGATTCCCTGATGTCTTCTATATCTGTCCTCTGTCCCTCAATCAGGCTCACTGGGTTTTTTGAATTTTCACCACATGTTACTTTTATCTCTGTTTTGCACTGTCTTTACTACTTTGCCTTGTGTTAGATTTAATGGTAGGGTAGAAAAAGCATAGACATTGTAGTAAAACCCTTGTTCAATCGAACTTTCTGAGTCCCAGTTTACTCACTTGTAGATGGGAATAGAAATAGAATTCTGGTCATTCTTGTGAGGAGTAATTTGGAAAGCACAAACTACCTGGGGCTAAATAGGCATTCAATAAATGTCAGTGTCCTTCCCATTTCTAAGTTTCATGTCTAGTTTCCCCTCTAATCTGTAAATTCCTTTAGGGTAGGAAATCTTATATTCATTGTGCCTTGAGCAGAGTAGGTTATAAATGATTATTTATTGATTATATTTTGCTGTTCTGCTATGGAGGCTTAGTTCTGTAGTATTATTTTCTATTTCTTTTTCCTCTGTCATCTTGGATTGAGATGAACATGTTGCTTTCATGAAATTGAGAATTTAATTTCATAGAATGCCATTTTAATATGACTTATTCCATAGATATATACAGTAAGGGTCAATTTATTTCCCTGGAAATTTAAATGTATTCTATAAAATCTCATTAGCCTGTCTTACGGCATCATAGTCACAGTAGAATTTTGGTGTGTTTAAGATGGTGAAGTCTTTATCTGTGGAAGTCTATCAATAACACAGAACATGGGAAATAAATGACATAAGGAAAGAGCAAATCCCAAACATCTTTCAAATTATATTACTTGACATTTTCAATCACTAACCCTACAAAATGTGTTCCAATTTACTAAAATAAACCAGGAATTCAATTTCTTGTGAGCTCCCTTTGCTTAATTAATTATTAGTAGCAGACAGTATTCTGTGATCTATGTAATTTGTCACCTTTGTATTTATCTAGTATCTGATTTAAAAATGAACAAGATCATTCTGATTCAGCAGAACTGACTTCATAACTCATCTGTGTTATAGAATGAATAAGTTTTGCTGAACATGGCACAATGCTTTGATCATCAAAGTATTAGTTTTCCTTCTCAAAATATAGTCTCTGAGAGATATTCTTTTCTGAAGTTTGCTGGATGACCTATTCTACATAGATTTTTCTACAGAGGCAAGTTAGACCTCATTCCATTACAGCAAAATAGCATTCAAGCAGCTACCTTTGTATGATTTTTTCCCCTTAACTAGAATGTTAAAGCTCTTTTAATGCTTCCTCGTTATGAGTTGGAATTATTCATTCATTATGATGTTTTTCTTTAAAATAACAGCAATGTATCCTAAAACATGTAAGGTTTTTTTTTAAATAAAAGCATGCTGTTTTTGTTAGAGTGAGGACTAACAGGCTTATCATTTATGCAATAACATTGTTTGTACTTAGAATGCAGTTATTAACTCTTTATAATTGTCCCTAATTATTTCACCAAAAGATAATTATATAGCATTTGTTATTTATACATTATAGATATAGATAGGAGAAACTGAGGCTCATTATTGACTCTCTGTGTTAGCTATCTGGGAAACTGAGAAAAATGTGCTGTTATCCTAACGATGTGCTTTCTTTTTTCATTTTCAGTTTCAAAGAACACTTGAGTGCCTTAAAAATGTTTCCAACAAATCTGACCTTCAGAAAACCTACCAGAAGCTTGGGAAGGAGCTGGAAGATCTGGATTATTTGGCTTTCAAACGTCAGCAGGTAGGGGTCAATACCTTCCTTTGTAGAAATGGTGGACACTTTAGGATTCCTGTTGTCTTTCTTGTCAGAGGGGCAGGCAAGTCTGGGGAGACATACCTTCTAATGGTTGGGGTAGAAATAGCTTGTGCTGATCTGATCTGTTGTGTTCATACAACTTCATGCAGTGTTCAGTGTGGTCCTTATTTTTAGATGTGTACAATAGGGATTTCCACATGTGTTCTTGTACCTCTTTTAAAGAAAATTCCTGCTGGTTTGTGAAAGTCTAGCTACCCTTTGACTAATGATGCCTCAGTTGGCTTGGTCAGATGGCTTTTATAATTGCCATGGCATACCTGAAAAGGAAAATCACTCAAAGACCAGGAAAAGGCTGTGCATATACATAAAGAATTAAGTAAAAATGTCATAAATCTGTCAAAACTTGAGTTGACTTTTAGTTTTCTTTTTTAATCTCTGAAGATGAGTTAACATTTACAAATGTGGAAGGTTAAAGGAAAATATATTTAACGTAATTAATGAACGCATTTTTTTGCCTCCTGTATAGATATTAAGACAAATCCAAAACAAAAATAAACTACAAGGTTTCTTTGAGAGTTGATGTTTTATAAAATTAATATTCACAATGATTACTTTTTGTGGGTTTTGGAGGTATTGTCACAGTAGATAACCATTCTTCCCATCTAGATCTTCTTGAGTTTCTTTACAGCCACTAGGTGTCATGATTGTTAAGGTTTTTCTTTGGTCAACTGTTTCTTCTGATCAGGACAGTGAGAAGTTTAAATTAGGTTGCATGAAGTTTGGGAATGTGCTTAGTGATAGATAGCATCTAGAAAAATGACTAAATAACTGACTTGCATGGTCAGCCACTGAATCTTTCACTTAAGAATATTTCGTGTTAGTGTGGCAAAGGGTGTGACATTCTTGCCGTTGTCTAATTCACAAGTGTTAGAGTGTTTCAATTGGGGTTTTCAAAGCAGGACTTCCTATATTTTGTTAAACCTTATTAATTAAACATGATATGGTTTAGAAATATTAGCCTGAGAAAAGAATTGTGTGTTAGGTTTTTGCTCTATCTCAGAGGTTATGTGGACATTTAACCTTTTTTTCATCATTTCCTAGGTGTTATATATATATATTTTACAGAATGTTCCAGGGTAAATGAAATATTTCTACACATACTTTAAGTTATATGAAAAATGATACAATATTAATTCATTATATTTTTTTAAAGAAATCAATGCTGGTCCATGTATTACCATGCATAGCAGAAGTAGTCACAGTTACTGAGAGCTACTACAGTAAGTTCCCAGATGCTGCTGCTTAAAATTCACTCTGTGAGTCACTACTCTGACCTATGCAATTTTTAATACAGTTTTGTTTCCAAGACCATATTTTACCACCAAGGGGTATTTAAGTTGGCAGGCAGTAGTTACTGTCCTCTTCTTTATCCTTTCTCTTTAACACATTTTCAGTGATTAGATTCTTACATTAGCTAATTGTGAATTTGGAAAAAGGTGAATATTTCAAGGGCAGAAGAGTAGAACTCTTGCTGAATGGCATTGAAGGTGCATAAGTAAACTGCATGTGCATGAGGAAATAGGGACATGTGTAGTGTTTATACATGTATATATAAATCTTATATGCTTTTTAATTAAATGACAACTATATGTCACATAATAGGACTAAAACATTAATTTACTAAATATTTACAATGATATAGTGGGATTAGTTTTATTAGAACCATTTTACAGATGAGCAAAGTATTGATAGAGTTAAGTAACTCTTATTGTTGTTGGGATAATAAGGCATGAAGCCAATTCAAACCTGGAGTGTCATCTATCCTAGATGTACAGTGTTCAAAGAGTCAGAACATCAACTGTTCTTTGACTTATTGGAATTTGTCTTTTCTCTCCCGACCAATTCTTTTAAAACTTCAAAAACCTAGTAAACACATAGTAGAAATTGTTTTTCTCCTACTGGAAAAGATACAGGTCTCTGTAAAATTGCTAATTCAACAAGAAAGTTTCTTTGTTATATGGCAGATTCTTTGTACTATGAATTAATCATGGGTCATTTCTCAGTCGGATCATATTTATCATTCTTTATTGTGGCAGAATGTAAGCAGCATAAGGACAGAGACTTGTTAGTTTCATGATCTTCAGTGCTGTATCCTGTCTAGGCTCACATGTCTGACTCATGGCAAATAATAAATATTATTGGTGGTTGTATTCCTATGAATGAAGAAGCAGCCAAAACTTTATCCTCAGATTATAGGCAACTACAATCAATGTGTTTGTTTCACTTTTAAAATTTAGAAGGGCTTTAGCTCTGAGCTTTCTATATGCCAAAGGCTAACAGAGTGCTCTCTGCATTGTTTTATTTTAGGTTTTCTTCTAACATATTTAATTTCTCTATTTACTTCTTCCAAGAAACAGAAAATGCCAATGTTACCTTAGCTCTGAATTATATATATTTCATATATAATTTGTATATAATTATGTATATACATTTTATGTAATTATATATTTGTATATATATATATATATATATATATATATATATATATATATATATATATATTTATTTATTTTTTTTTTTTCAGTGCTGGGGATTGAACCCAGGGCTCATGTATGTGAGGCAAAAACTCTACTTCTGAGCTATATAATTCAACTTGTTTTTGAATCATTTCTTTCCCAGTACCAGATAGACCCCTGGAGTACTTTGCTTCATTAAACTTTTTTTTTTTTTTAAGTTACTGTTTTTCTTGTCTAGGCATGAACTTAAGCTAGTCCTTGGGTCAGGGCACAAGCATCTCTATAGTTTCCTCCTTTAAAAAAGACTAATGTTCAAAATAGCTTTGGTTGGAAAAAGTGAGAGAGGAGGCTGTGATAGATGAGGGAGTGGGTGTCCAGAGACTAGTTAGCCTGAAAGAAATGAATGGCAAAGCAGAATTAACATGAAAATCTGGAAGCTCTTTCAATTCTCACTACTTGGAGATACAATCTTGGAGTTTATCTGCTTTGACTGTTTGGTTTTTATCCTCCTGCTTGGTGCTACAAAGGAATGAAAATAGTAATCTCCAGCTATTATAGAGATTCCAGACCTATGTATTAATTTGAGAAGTTATAAATCAAAATGTTTTCTTGGGGGCTTTCATTCTGTAGAGTAAAATAAAATAAGATTTGATAATCTAGATTCTAATTTAATTCTTCCTCTCTTCTTCTACCCTTAATACTTATAATAATAATATAAAACACATCCCATTTCCAGAGGCTTCTGAAGTTCTTTAATATAAATTAAAGTTGACATATTGAGTTGAACATGATATAGACTGAAGCAAATTTAAAACATTGTTTGAAAATTAAAATACTGTGCTTCAGGTACACATCCATTTTCAAACATATCACATATTGCCAATTCTTCTCCCCCTGATCATGGACTATTGTTTTTGCCTTCTGACCTTTGTATAACATTTATGTAACTTGGTATTAAGAGTACACAGTCTCTTTCTATTTGTTTATTTAACTACTAATTTTCCTTCAAAGTTAAACTGAAGACTTTCTTCTTCCTGACCCCACACCCTGTGACCTCTAGCCAATATGTAAACTCTTCATTCTTTTTTTTATCCACTTTTAGCTTTTATCTGTGTCTTACAGTTTTTAACAGTTTAGCATCTGATTGATGATTTACTCAATGAGAATACACCTAATGCAAAAGTTAGAATGTGGGCTTCATGGTTAGCCAAACCTAGTTGTAATGTTTGTACTCCCTTGGACACCAAGTTTCTACATATAAAACACAAAGAAGATAACTCCTAATTTACAGCATGTTCTGAAAAAAAATTATATACAAAGTATAAAGTAAGTCCTTTAAAGTGTACAAAGGACTTGGCAAAGCACCTAATGTGGTAGCTATCATAATGTTGTTTTGAGTTATTCTCAAAAGCCTTTTTCCTAAATAGTGTACAATTTCTATAAGGATATTTTCTCTCTTTTATATAATTTTGTACTACACATAAGGTTCAGTGCTGTTCTGCACATATAGGACTAAGTGTTTTTGAATATCTGTAGTCTAGTAGTTGGTGATCTGTTCTAGAAAAAATGATATGTCTCAAGAAGGAAGTTGCAACATTTGGTTCTAATAAGTGTCTACAAAGACCTCTCGTGATGGACAGTGAAATGAAAAGCCCACGTTCTTGTGCCATGGCAGTCCGTGGGGGAAATAGGGTTTTAGACCCAATATTTTGGCCAAAGTCCAACTTGTAATAATTACATCCTATGTATCTAGACTTCCTTTGTTCTTCCAGATGGTATTGTTCAGTACAATTTGATCCTTACTTTAGTGATGATGTTTAGGAATGAACAACTGTTTTTTTTTTTCTTTTACTAGACTGGATAGGAGTTGCCCCTTGGATAATTCCAAGACCAGAAGTGTCTATAATACCTTGTAGAATAGGAATTGAATTTAAAATAAAGCCTTATCAATGAAGAAAAGTAGAAATAAATTATATGCAACTTATTTAGTGAAAATGAATGCAGGTCTATATCCTTCAGTTGAAAAATTTTACTTCTTTCTTTTTGTATTTTTTAACAATAGGCATCTTAGCAGGTGTGAAAGAAGAGACAAGAGTTGGTGATGATAGGGAGAAAAGGGTATCTTTTTACACTGTTGGTGGTAATGTAAATTGGTATAGTCAATATGGAAAACAGTATGAAAGTTCCTCAAAAAATTAATAATAGAATTACCATATGATCTAGCACTCCCACTTCTGGGCGTATATCCAAAGGAAATGAAATCAGTGTCTTGAAGAGATAACTGTACTCCGATATTAATTGTAGCACTATTCACAATAGCTAAGATATGGAAACAAATTAAGTTTTTTGATGAATAGATAAAAAATTATATTATGTATATATTATAATATATATATATATATATATATATATATATATATATATATATATATATATATATAATATGTTTAGTAAGCCTTAGAAAAGAAG